AGGGAGGAGCCACAATGGGGGATCAAATTTTTACAAAGGAATATATGGGAAATTTTTTTTAAAATCTTCTCAAGTACAACAAAGCCATTTGTTATATTGACATGGAAGCATCATCAGGTAGTTTAAAATTCAAGCCCCCCCCCCCCCCCCCCTCACCCAAGTAATCTTTTCAATACTGAACTGATTTGTGCTTTTGCCAAGCCAATGTGCTCAGGTGAGCAATGTGGCCCATGGGCCTCTTGTTTGACTTTGTCACTTTTCTAGTTTTATTTTTATTTTATTTTTTTAATAAATGATCAAAGAATTTAGTAAAATAATCACTATACTGAGATGAGAGATCACAAGTTTTGATGGCATTTCATTCAAACTTTTGAAAACTTGTTTTATTTAAAAAGAATCTTTTAAATTAATTTATTTTTTAGTGTAATACAATAACTTGAGGTCACAGGAAAACATAGAGCTTTCTATATATTTATGTCTTCTTATTATGTAAATTAGAACAAAAATGTAAAAGTTATTTGGGGGTTATTTTTTGAATTCAAAGATGATATATTGTCAATACTTAATAAAATATATGTATATAAAGGCATTGGAAATTTGGGGCATATTTAGGTGAATTTATTATTTCATTTATTTATTATTATTATGTAGGAATTTATTACCACGAATAAGTGTAAATTACCTTTACACTTCAATTCCTTGTTAATAGTATGACAGAAAGAAAATATATAAAGTTCAGAGAATGAAATTGTGAGCTCCATGTAAAAAGGTTAATTTTGATTTTTTTCATAAGTAATATGAGTAGGCAGAGTCGGACACTGTGGTTTCCTAAGCTGAACGTCATTGATAAGTCCATGATGTATGGAAGGATGTCAATTATACCACTGTTTTAAGTCAGCACCTCCGTCAATGACACTAATTTATTGAATTATTATCAGTGCAGGGGAAAAAAATGTTAAGCATTTCGATATTTAAATGCCAAAAAAGGGCAACTAGAAGAGATCTACATTCATGCTCTTAATGTACTCCAACATGCTAGAGGTTCACAGCGAGATGCTTTTGACTTGGCACCTAGGGAGCGTATTAAGGACATTTACTGAGGCTCTTTCTTGTAGGAGTATCTCTTAACACTGAATCAGGAGTCTTTTGTTCAGACAAATCTTTTAACTCTTATTTCAAAGAGAATTTGATGCATGTTACTTTTTTATGTTGATCGAATCTTGATTTGAGTATGTGTACAGCTTTAGTTGTTTTCTTTTTCTGTTACTTATGCAGGTTGGGAGGAGAACAAGATCAGATTTAGGGGTTGGGAGGTTTGGAGGGAGTGCTGAGTAGACAGAAATCATATACAAAAATTCTTGACAAGAAAACAGAAAGGGGGGGGGGGGTCAGACTTATTCTTAAAAAGTAATAAGTATGATAAGTATTCAGTATAAGTATTGATTTGTGGCAGTCAGACAGGTTTGATCATTGACTTGCTTCGGAGGCTGGATTTGACCTACATTTTCCAGATGAGCGACCAGTTTAAAGTTTTGGGCGCAGGTCCATTACCAAGACACTATAAGGCCTATCTGAACCAAACTTGCATGGATGATGCATCAAGGGATGAACACTCTTAATCTTGCTTCAGATGCTGGATTTGAATTACATTTTCTGGATGACTGATTAATTTGAAGTTTTTGGATAAGTCCATTCCCAAGTAACTGCAAACCCTTATCAGATCAAAATTGCCTAATTGTTGCATCTTGGGATATACAGCTACTATATTATTAGTTTAATGAGGGTTTTGCCTTACTTAAAGACAACATTCATTGAGGTGAGCTTGCCTATGTTTTTCTTTCTTGTCATATTTGGTGCCATGCTACGTCCTGATGGTGACAGGTGGAAGACCTGCCAGAGAAGAGCCTGGGTTGGTGTCTTCTGGGGCAAAAACCTTTTAAGAGGGAGGAAAGAGGCAGTCAGACAGGTTTGATTGCTGGTGGCCAGATAGCTCAGTTGGTAGAGCACCTGACTAGTGACTCAGGGGGTACCCAATTCAAATCCTGGTTTGATCTGTTGCATTTTTTCTCCTTTCCCTTCACAGATCTTTTCAAAAATTTTAACAAAGTTGGCAAAATATTAAGCAGGACAAGGAGGGGCTCACTCTCCATTCCTAGACTTTGCGATTTTGAGCCAAATCATAAAGATGCACAAATGGAGATGAAAGTTTGATTTTGTTTTATTTTAAAGAGAATATATGAACAAAAATCTAAGGTGTAGGTTTTTATTTTGTTAGTATCTAAGACCATTGTTTCAATATGAAGTTGGTGCAACTCCATTAATTCGAATTTTGTCTCATCATCATTGGTAGACAATACAATATAATTTAACAAGGGGTTGACAAGTGCATGAACTTGTTTAACGTTGATTATCATTTTTTTATATTTAATGACTGGTACTTAATGAATTTGACACAACGATGCAAATATATCTGATGTTCAAATGTCATTCTGGCTTTTGCAATTGAAATGTCTTTTGATTTGTATACTGAATACATGCAGACAAATATTTTCTTTTTCCAAGACACAAAATCTAGAACAAACGTCACTTTGGACTGCAGGCAATTCCTTGCAAATTGTTCTGTTTTTCATATATTTTAAATCTTAAATTTTTATATATTGAAAACATTTTCAAAGCTTTGGACTCAATTTTAATTTTCTAAATTTCATTTATAAAAATTTTAAAGGAATAGCACAGTGGATGTTCTTAATTGCTAATTAATCTGTCATGATGAATGTGACCATCTGTAAATTACAGTGAATTAAAACATATATTTATCAGCCTTTTGCCTGACAAGGGGATAAAAGAAACATCAAACCATCAAACCAGCACATAACATGACATTGGACTTCATAATTAGTGTCTGTTCCAGGCTGCGGGCTAGCCGTATAATTGTTTGTTTGTGACTTGAAGCAGACCTTTTTCCATGCTTACGACATGTCTTTTTGACTGATTGAGTTACATTTATTTCCTGTTGTTCTTAGCATCAGTAAGAACTTGTATCTTTTTTTGTCATTTCAGGCTTGGGATAGCCATCAACAAAGGTAGGTTTTATAACATTTTGATAATCTTTATGATGCAATATATATGATCTTTTTTTTTCAATAATGATAATTTTGATTATGATCGATCCGTTGGTTTAACTTCTAAGTCGGGGGGTTCACTTTCAATACAGGATTTATTTAAGGTAAAAAAATAAACTAATAAAGTTGAAGAAGGTGTTAATCATACATGAATTATTATGATAGATTAATTTTTCTTCTCAAAATGTTTTCATTATTGTTTTTTCCTCAAAGAATCCCTTGCAATGATTTTAATGAAAGCTTCACATGAACTTCTACCAATGAGCAGTGATATGATTTTCTGTTGATACAGTCAGTAAAGTGTCATGCAATTATGGCATCACAGTCACAATCCCCCTCTTTGATAGATAAAGAGTAAAGACGTCATGATTGACTTTTATCTTAGGAACATTTCAAATCATCCCAAGCTTATTCGAGGGGGTAAACCTCCACATATCTTCAATATATGTATATCTAAGTGAAAATAATTCATCATTTAAAGTGTAGATGTAAGCAATATATTAATTTTCGAAAAGGTTTATGAGGCTATGTACTTAATATAATAATTTAATGATAATTGGCTACAAGAAAAATGTGTGGATTTGAGAAGTCAAAGTTCATGCCCTCTTGACCCTCTCAAAAATAAAAGACATTTTTTTTAAATTTGTGAAGTAAATGCATTGCTTTATGATCTATGTAGGTATTGAATTCGCACAAAATTATGCTCTTTTAAAGTTATTTGTTGAAATAGAAATGGGATAGAGACACATAATTATTTATTTGAGAAATATATACATGTAAAGGTTATTTTCTCATCCAGATAACAAGGTACAAGAGATCTGACATGACAGACCTAAAAGAAATGAACAACCATGGTAATGGTGGGGCTTACCCATCACCCCCCGAGGCTGAGGAAAAGGAGGAAAATCTCAGTGTCTCCATAGAGGAAGGCCAGCCCCCCAGCAGGAAATGTGCTGCTCTAAGGTCATGCTTTCACAAATGTAGCAAGCCTGTCAGTACAAAGTACCACCCTCTCTCCGAAAACCCAGGGAAACTCGAGCGATTCCGATATGCTTTTATGTGTCCACCACATGGAAATCTTGCCATGTATATACAGTTTTTTCTGCTATGCGCCATGACTTGGGCAGTGCTTGTTGCTGTAACCAAAGATGAGGCCCTACCAGGGGGCAATTTCTTTTCTCTAGTCATTCTCTTTACAGCAGCTGTAGCTGGGGGATATGTGTTCTCTCTAGTCCGTTTGCCTCCTTTATTGGGTAGGATTTTATAAGCTACTACAATGTTGAGACATTTTTTTGAGACTGAACATATATACATGTAATAATCTTTTGCTCTCTGTTTTTCAGGTATGCTTATTGTTGGGGGTATGCTGAGTAACATTCCTGTTGTTAAGACAGTGGGCCAAGGATTGGACTTGCAGTGGTCTGGGGCTCTTAGGTAATTATTATTATGAATTTATATTCCTTTGCCATTGGAACAAAAAGTCTTTAATCACTGGTGAATAGAACAAATTAATCACCTTTTTTTTTTACAAGCCTATTTCTAAGCAATTTTCACCTTAAGATAAATTAAAACCATAAGATTCATAGAAAATTGAAATGCATCTGATATTGATATACATGTATTTCCATTTCTATTTGTTTTCTCTGTGATAACTCTTTGAAAGTTAGGAGAGTTGATTTCTTGATCATTCTAAAGGAATGCAAATTTTGCCAAGCGAAAGGTCAGGAGCTAAGGAGGCCTAATATTCATGTAATTCTCGTGCGGCTGTCTTTGTGTCTGATGCTAAGGAGGCCTAATATGCATGTAATTCTTGTGCGGCTGTCTTTGTGTTTGACGTCAGTGGGCGGGGACTATTGAAATTGACATGTGAGGCCTCGTGTAATTTAAATCTATTAGTCTACATTTTTAAAATCTAAATTTACAATTTTATTTCAAAATGAAATGGAAATATAAGGAATCACTGTCTAGTTAGTAGAGTATGCCAGGGACATCAACGATAGTTGGAAACGTGGGATAATTTATGCATAACGGGCTTTGCCCGTTATGCAAATTATCCCACGTTTCCAACTATTGTTGATGCCCTGGCATACTCTACTAACTAGACAGTGATTCCTTAAATAACAAGCATATCTTTGACTCAGATTAGAATGATACATCTTTTCAATATTTTTAGAAAAATAGCATTAACTGTGATCTTGATCCGAGCGGGTCTTGGCCTGGATCCTGTGGCTCTCAGGAAGTTGTCTTTTACTGTACTTAGACTGGCTTTTACCCCTTGTCTAACAGAGTGCCTAGCAGAAGCTGTAGCATCCCACTTCCTGTTGGGGTTGCCATGGGAATGGGGATTTATGTTAGGGTGAGTAGTAGCATTTTTTCCAATATGTCTTTTTATGGTAAAAATTTGTTTCCGTAGAAACACAAACAATGCGACTTTATAAGAAGCAATATCCAAGATGGTCAATATGTAATATTTATCATTATTGTGTTGGAAGAGATGACAATGTATTTTCTAAAATTCCTACTGCAATCCATGAATAATAGAGCTGTTTCACAGATAAGCTTACCGCAGACATTTAAAGTGTTAAGTAATTCATAATTCACATGTTTGCTCACTCTATGTATTGAGTATTTTTATTTCATAAGTGATTGATGGTATACATCTCTGTGTATATTAAAGTTTCATAGCTAAATTCAATAACTTGGTATAGGTATGAAAAACTTTTTATCTGCCGTCTGTCTTTATCAATAGCAATTCATATTTTGAGCTAAAATTGGAATAAGGAGGGTAATTAATGCACCCCCAAAATAGTCCACTGTTGACAGAATTGTTCAAATGGTGATTTAAATCGCTCATATGTTTTGAAGAATGCCAATTTAAAAGATATTTTTCTGTTATACATGTATTATCAAATTTGGACTGGATTGCTAAAGGATTTTTATACTGGGTTGTAAACTAAAATCTCCAGGAACAGCACAAGTTGTCAAATGTTTGTGTTTCCCAAAATGGCTATTGCACTATGAATTACTACTTTATCTAGTCTGCAGGTGTAGATTGTAAATGATGATAATCAATTGAAAGGAAAGCATCATTTGCGAACCTCAGGGAAGTCTTAAAATAGCATTTATTTTATTATGAGCATAATTTTATAGCAGGATGCTAAGTTGAAATTCCAGTTTCTCAGGTGTACAGTGTATATGAAGGTACTTGTTTGAAACCTAATTTTTGTAAACTTTGTCTATAGATTTATTCTCAGTTTGCCTGCCAGCTACTCTATTAATTTCCCATCTCATCACAACCTTGTAAATCTTTTTCCCCATTTTTTTTAGCATAAGCATTAAAATTTAATAAAATAATTCTCTTCAAAGCTGTTTATTTAGTCCCCCATATGAAAGAGTCCTGATATTTTTTTTTAAATTTGAGCTGGTAAATTGATAAAGTTTTTAAACCATTGAATCTCCTGGTAAACTATAAAGCCTTAGGGATCATTTTATTTTGTCTGCATGGACAGTTGACAATAAATCCATTATTCCACGTAGGGGGTATTGTGACCTCCAAAGCTAGAAATTTAAACACACCCCACACTGCAAAATACTCAGCGGTATTTGCAATTCTTTATTCAGAGGTTGAGGGGCAAAATTCAATACGTTTTAGATAAAAGAGGGGATTCCACCCAATATCATAATTTTCACTACCAGTTGGTTGTTTACAGGATTAAAGTTGTTCTTTCAATCAATAATGAATACACATTGTATTTACATTTGTACACCGGCCTCATTTTGTTTACACTCCCACAATAGTACATGCTTGACTGGTGGTAGTATTGGTGTTTAAACTGCACTTGTTAGTAAAAGATATGTGTTTGTTTTATAGTGAAAGCAAGCATTCAGAGTTCCAGACCGACTTTTTTATCCATTGAAGATAGCCTAAATATTGAATGTGTAGTAGTCGCTAGTGTTATAGTGAAATAATGAAGATTACGAACAATAATCAAGCTCAAAAATCCATCGAAACAATACAAACTGGGAGCAAAGCAAAGATGGACCTCTAAAAAAAAATCAGAGGTGGGACAAGGTGCCATGGAGGATTAAGCATCCCCTGTTGACCTGTAGCACTTGCCGTTTGCTCCTTGTCATGATTGGGCAAACGGAAAAGTCCATAGACAATTTATTGTGAAATTGGCGTAACAATTTGTATGAAAAACGTCAGTCAACATTTGACTTAATGATAGATTGTTTTTGCTGACAAGGTCATTGTATTGACCATAGAATTTGCAAAATATTGACTTTAAACAAGACTGTTGATATCCTTGTTTCATCAACTTATTTATCAATAGCCTGCCTTGTTTTAGAAATTGTTCATACGTAGAGCATGGTCTTGTGTATTGAATCAATTGGAAGACTAAACTCCATATGCAGGTGATAATGGTATAATACTACATATATAAGGGAAGTTGATGATGGAAAAGTTGATGTCATCACGTTTATCGTCAAGTTTTGTTGTTAGGTTACCCTTAACATCTTTTTCTAGTAAAATACTTGAATCCAAAAATGAAACAGATTTCACTGTGATTGCAATTATATTGTATACTGTTTATTACTGAATGCTATATAAGTATTAATTAAAGGATTTATGTATGAAAGCAATCTAACAAATCTTATGGCATGACTTTAATAAATTAAAAGTATTCCAAAAGATTTTCCTAAAAACATATATGTCCAAATGTGGCAAGAAATATGGATTTTGAAGTAATATATAGAGGATATTCAATGTTTTGTAGTTGGATGTGGAATTTATTTCACCAGTGGGTCAGGATTTTTCTGATATTTTCACAAGTGCAAAGCACGAGCGAAAATATAAAAAAAATTCTGTCTCTTGAGTGATATAAATTCCATATCCAACTACAAAACATTGAATTTTCTGCTTATTACATTTTCTTTGGTTTTCCTTTCGCCTCAGTCTACCGGGTATCTGTCGTACATAACTGTGATGTCATAGCTAAGCAATTGTGAGATTGAAAATTGTAAACAATTTGGAGAAACTTTTGTAGTTTTAGTCTGTGTTAGGTTGTTTGATAAACTTATGACAGCTAGGGAGTATTTTTTATATTGTAACACTTTCATGAAGGGAAGGAAAATTGAGAGTTTTGCCACACTTTTGATATTTTTCACAGTGAAAAATACCACTTTGTATTTTTCACTGCGAAAATATCACTTTCAAAAGTATCATTTTTTTTTCAATGGATAAATTAAAGTATTTCACTGTTGAAAATGTAATAAAATGGAAAGTTAAATGGAAAATATCTAGGTTATGATTATAGTTTAGATTTTTAAGCCAAAATAAAAGGAGGAACTGCTTAGTTTTGGGGCCGGGGTGTATAGGAATGAACTGCGGGTTGGAGCAGATATGTGGTAATTATTAAATTTATACAAATTATTTATACATGTAGTCATGTATACAGACACCTTATACATGTAGACACCTTTTTTTTTGTTTTTGTTTATTTTCTCCCTTATTACCATCCAATATACTCCAGTTGCCTCATCATCCCATAGACCCCCAAAACAAGACAATTTTTAAAATAAGTATTCCTTCAATGAATTCAGTATGGAGAGTGCAAGTATTGAAGTATGTTCAAATGATTGCATTTGATAGTTGGCTTGAACCAGAATTTCCTCTCTCTCCTAGTGAGATTATTATAGGGTTAATAAACAAACAAATGATAAACTCCACAAAGACAAGCCCTCAAATCAAGGCATGGAAACTAATTCATGATGACTTCTATCCATTCAGGAATCTGTTTATAAACTTCACAATTAGTTCAGTTTCTATCAAACTTGGTTGATGGATGCTATTTGTTTTGAGATTATAAGGTACCCTAGGTCCTGCCTTGTTGGCAGTGTGGGTGCATGATGGCTGTAAGCTGTAAAGATTAATTACGGTAACTGGTGTAAACTTTGAAAAAAAAAGTTGTAACAGCACAATGAACAAGCTATGAACCATGTTAACATTTCATTTGTCACTTACTGGTTATGATATTGATATCTTTTCTCAATAGATCTACTTTGGGCTGGTGGCATATGCAAAAAAGGACCTTCATTGTCACACTGGCACTATTAGACAGTGATTTTTAGGAAACATGTTTTAATATTTCAGGGTGGAAAAAAAGTAAATTAGGTAATATATAGAGACATACATAAGATGTTCAATGGAATGATAAATAGGTTGACTTTTTTTTTTTGTTTTTGCAATTACACCAAATGTTCAATGTTGAAGTTTAATTTCTACAATGAACAAGGTTGGTGATGAAACTGCACTTTAGACAATGGATTTATAAGTTTGGGGATCATGTTTATGATTACGTTGATCCTCTTCAGAAATCAGCTGATGATTTAAGTGTAGAGAGGCGCTGATCTGGAGAGTCCTGATATATATATCTATCAGCCTGTTTGTGCTAGGTACTATAAGGACTGACATTTATAGACAGTTGTTCAATAACAGTTATTCTTGATTTCACCGAGGGGGTAGAAAATTGGCCTATTTTATTCAATACCATTATAAATTTTATGGTTTACTTTATAAGTTCAAGGAATTATATGCTACATAGAATATTTAATGTATATATCTTGAAATTGGGGTCTATAGTTGATTTTTGACCTGTTAGTTGCCGATTTCAAGTGGAAGATACATACAGTCGTAGAAAATGGAAACTCCCCCGTGGTGTGATAACACTTGTGTTGATTATAAAGTAAGAGTAAAGTTCTCAGATAAAGTTTCTGTAAAGTTTGATACAATATTTTAACTTGTTGATTTTTCCATAAATGAAACATGACTGTGAATTACAATGTTCAAATACACTGTTCAAAGGTGTGTTTCAAGCCACAATCATGTTTCATTGATAGCTCTGATTCTTTGCATCTTGATACATTCAGATTTCCATTATTCTGAATTCTTAATTATATAGCAGAATAAAATTTTGGATTACAAAAATGGTCATTCCATACTCTATTTAGAAAAGCTCCATGAAAATAAGGTTTTCAAGTTGTCTTTATATTCAATGAATTTATAAAGCACTAAAAATACTTTAAATAGTAGAACTTATTTTTTTCCACAAACACATCACTAAAATAATTCTACAATGCCTACAACTCTTCAGTAAAAAAAGTGCTGTATTGATACAGTAAAATTTAATTATCTATTCCAGACACAAGTGCACATGGCTCAATGGTCAGAATAGATAACATTTCGGAGTAGGCAACATTTTATTCCATTGGATTTACTGCAAGGGACTAAAGGTTTTATTTGTAATAAGCAAGATTTCAGAATACACAACATCTGGATTAGACGAGTTTTACTGTATATTTTTTTTTTTTATTCCATGCAATAATAGCCATGTTTTTTCCCCTAGCTTCTCCATTCATATTGTCTATATCACAGATCACAGGCTGCTAATCTCTGTAAACTCCTGCAACTAAGTTGTCAACATCTCCCTACATGTCATTGACCAATAGTCTGGACACATTTCATGCTAGACCCCTCAGTTTGCATCTCTACAAAACTTTTCATAAAACATCCATTACAGCATAGAATAAACCTAAACCAAAATTCCCGATTTGAGAGAAATTAAAATGAAAGATTGAACCTAAACCAAAATTTGCAATTTGAGAGAAATTAAAATGAAAGATTTAGAGGTATCTGTTTAAGACTTAAAGGCTGTGACATTAATTGATTCTCTTTAATGGGACATTTCGTTCTGAAGTTTTCATTAAAAATATTTTGAACATGGAAAAGCACATTTTAAGGACTTCTCTTCTCTTTCCATAATACTAATGACAGAAAATGTATATTTTATAAGTTTGATAAGACTGGTATATTTAAAAAGAGAAATACATATCAATGTCTTCCAGATTTGTCCTTGCTGCAGTGTCTCCAGCTGTTGTGGTACCCTCCCTCCTCAATCTATCAGACCGGGGCTATGGTTTAGACAAAGGCATTCCTACTCTAGTCATTGCAGCAGCCAGTGTGGATGATGTTTTGGCCATCACAGGTTTTGGGGTGGTACTTGGAATAGCCTTCACTCAAGGTGGGTAGAAATGTATTTGGAGAATATGAAATATACAGTTATACATAAACCAAGTACAAATTCTTTTGCAAAAATATTCATCTTTGAAAGAAAGTTTCTTTACAATTTAATTGTCTGGCTCAGCAAATTATTGAAGCCTACCCTAGTTGTATTGAAATCAAAATATAAATTTTAGAAAATTATATTGAGCAGATAATTATCCCATCCCTAAATCTTGTGGAATTCATATACATACATGTATTCCGTCATTAAAATACTTTTAGAGAAAAGCCAGAAACATTGTGAAAGGTAAGCTTTTAAGTTAATATGTCTCAAAAACAATGAGGAAAGTTGATTCAACTTAAGACTTCAGTTATAGCTGTTGCGATTTTTATTATTTCTAGAAAAACATGAATTATCAAAGATTACACAAGTTTGAAGGGGGTCAATACCTTCCTTAAGTAGACTTTTTTTTATGTTCATACCACATAGACTGGATTAATGGAATAGGCTTGTTTCCCAGATAATTAAGTCTTCCAGTGGGTCCGATGTGTTCTAGTTGCTGACTATCATGGTGGATGAGGTTGTTGTTAGAAAGACACATACCAACAATGTAAAGTAATAATTGCTGTGTCATCCATGAGTTGACAGTACGAGTCTGATGTGTAAAGATACACCAGAGGAATTCAAATGGCTTAATTTTAATTAAAAACAAGACTGGGTGTAATGACTAAGCAGTGACTTTCTTTTGTTGTTGAATTCAACCTTTTTAGCATCAAAGTTAAAATTACGAAAGATAGTTAATTGCTTTATCAACCTTGTCTTTTACAAAACAGCAGAGTTATTTTCTTTCGGGTCATTTTCCTAAAATTCTATAAAGTTGGTAACATGCATATTTCAAAGTACATGTAGTCCAAATACCCTACCGAAACCTCTTCAACTATTTTTCAAGCTAATAAGTAGACCCTATTACAGAAGTGCAAAAGATGTCTCAAAAAATTAGCTATTCAGTAAAAAGAAATCATTCACATTGGAGGGAAATGATATAAAATCCATTTTCCCCCCTGCTGCTTTTACTGCAGATAACATTGGTATCAAATGCTAAGCAAATAACACCAATTCAATTATAGGCCAATAGCAACTTACAATTGAAAAAGGAAAAAAAATACGAATGACAAATACAGATAATGCATGCTCAGATAGTTAAAAAAGGCCAAATTATGTGTGAGGCTCATCAAAACGTAGTTCATCTAGACTTCACAGACTCCTCCCCAACCAGAATAATACAGAATCGCAGAATCGCTCAGGTGTGCACCCTGAGAGACACCGACCCCCTGCTGGGCTGATCACGCAGAGGGGGATGTATTCATTATCATTAATTTTATTTCACATCAACCCTCAAAGACAGGGATAGAAAAGAACAGTAATAAATTGTCAGCCTTCGGAAGATTGGATGCCACACCGGGAGTGATGAACAACATTTGTAGCGTCACTTTGCGGGGGATATTTATTGTAATTTAATGACACGTGCTTTGATATTGGAATTTTTCATAAAACAATTATGAAATTCTTCAATTTCCATGAACAGATAAAAGTCAAGTTAGTAAAAAATGAAGGTAATAATATATGCTGACTACTTTATTAGGTATTTAATTGCAATTTTTTTTGTTATGAGTGATCTGTCACAATCTTAATTGTGGGAGTTTTTTGTGAAAATTAGTGCAAAAAGATTTTAGTTTTTTGCTGCTACAAATATTTTATTACATTCCTCTCAGCTGTTTTTATGTGCATGACTAAATGTGTCAAAGAAGGGAGTTGGTATTTTAAGACAGTACTGTAATCTTAACATTTGCAAGGAACAGCGGTTTTCAAATAGGAAAGAAAAAAGCAGTGTTAATGGAATAAGTACTATAGGGACTGAAAAATATCTTTAACAATTAACAGTTCTATTTCTTTTCTGGGGTGAGGGTGAGAGGTTGGGGGTGGGATATAGGTGATAATCTGACAATCCATGAATATTAAACAACATGAAACATTGCCATGTGGGGTGGTGTTAAGTCTGGGGGGATTGCATTTCACACCAGGGAGGATTTAACCCACCTGGGAAGGCGCAACCTTGATAACAGAAGGAATTCTATGTGTGACTGGACGTCTTTCTTTTCTTCTTTATTCAGTGAACAAACACATGTTTACAAGGGGTATATATATATATATACAGATCAGATCCAAGTGATAAATGAAAGATTTAACCTTTTGGCAAGGGAAACAGGCTCTAAAAGAATTCAGTAAATGCAGAACTTATAAATAGCCAGTGCAATACAAAGCCATTTATGCATTAAGCTATGTTCAGTTCAATAGAGGGCTATTACCTGCCCTACTATATGGGAGTAGGCTGATGGCGTGAGACTCTGAATTTAAATGTCAATATGATTATATCGATGCTTTGAAGTGGCGGAATGAGAAAGACATAAACAAAACTACAGGAGGTCTATTTGGGTGTTGTAATCCTGGCCTGGGGAGGTCTTATATTATACGTTTTTATCACTGTCTAAACGATGAATTCTTCATTGACAGACAGCGGTCGAAAACAATATCTTTATTTATAGAGGTATATTGGACCACACCATATAGTATTATTTTCACTAATTGCTCAGCAATTATCTATAGGAGCATATAATCAATTTATGGATTACAAATTAAAGTGAAGTATATATGCCACATTATGGAAACTTACTGGAAGAAAAATAATGATTTTTACATCAATTGATCTGAACTTAATGATAGTAATTTTTAATATTTTAATATAAAACAAGTTCACTTTTTTTAATTTTTGGTAGGAAAATGTGTTTTATATTTGGAAAATGACAGTATTTTAAGTCATGTTTTTTTTCCGAGTTTTTAATTGTCACTCAGTTTTAGCAAAAAATATCGCTATTGGAGATAACTTTCATTTTTTAGTTCATATTTTCAGTATTTGATAACATGGAAAAGATAACTAGGGTAACTATTCAAGTTACTTATTTTTAGCAATTGATACATCAACAAGACTGTTCATTACAAAGAAGTTGAAATATGAATATAATCAATATATCCATATGTTGCATGCTTAGATACTGTAAACCAACTATTATCTGCAGTTCATCAGTTTGTAATCCATCCACATCTATTAATTTTCATGCCTGCAGTAACATTCTACATTAAGGAAGCTTAAAGCTCTAATCACTGCAGATGCACACTAAAGAGTTATAATTGTAGTTTTATGAACTTAGAGTGATCTGCCCTTGGATATAAAATAGAACAAGCAAGTTCAAAGAATTGTGGTCCCCTGCTTTTGGTGTCTTAGTGGTTGGGATGCAGTTATTTATGACAAATTGTAACTGTCTTGATTGTGTGTCCTGTCTTGTTCCTTCATACAAAAAAGATACAAATTATTGAATTAATAAGAGTTATGGCTAGATTAAAGATTCTCAAAACTGCATCATGCAAACCTTAAGAACAAGGTCATGAGATCAAATATTAATACAATCCGAAAGGTCTTGTTACAAGTAGTGCATATGTAATTTATATATATATATATATATATATATATATATATAATATATATAATATATATATATATATATATATATATATATATATATATATATATATATATATATATATATATATATATATATAACCCCTTGTTTCTTCTGGAGCAAAAGTTATATGGCCAAAGTTAAAATTTTTTATATGTAGGTCAAACTTCTGTGTCAAGGCCATGAAATCAAAAATGATATTTTTTTCTGAAAGGTGTTCTCATAGGTAATGTACATGTAAATTATGAAAGCCCTATTAGAAAATTAACAAAATAAATCCCCCCCCCCACCACCACCACTCCACCAAGATTTAATGTCATTTATTTACAATGTGCTGTTGTTAATATCCAACAAGTTCTCATATTGTCCTGACTTGCTGGGTAAAGGAATTGTTTTGATGAGCATCTAAGTTATTATGCCAAATCTAAATGGTTAACCATTAGTAAAGGAAGTTCATTGATTACCGCAAGATTTCAAGATTTGTCTGATGTAAGGATTGCAAAATCCAATAGCAAGAAATGAGGTGGTCCAGTATTTACAGTGCATTCACTGTAAATGAATTTTATGTACAATAGTAATGTAATTAATATAATAAGTGACATATTGCCTATAGGCACATAAAAATGCTAAATTTTGATGAAAGCAATAATCCCTCAAAACAAAACTTATTTATTATTTCAAAATCAATCACTGAATTTATCTTGATTAAAAAGTCAGTTTTTTTAGGATTGATGATTCAGCAGTATTCCATATTTTCAATTTGTTATCATGAAAATGAAATTTTAAGCTCTATTTGTTAAAGAGTTGCTTACTTTGCAAAACAATTTTGTTTCTAAATCACATTATGAATATTGCAGTAACAGCACAATGCTTAGTACAATAAAGGATATCTTGATAAAGGGAATGAATAAAAATTATTGTAAGCAATCTCTTTTCTCTGAGGATTTAGTGAATTTTTATTGATTTCAAATATGCATCAAACTACATTTAAGACTAAGAGAAGGTGAAGTGGGGATTATCTCCCCTTTAACAAAGTGATGCATGAAGAAATGTAGGGCATGTTTCTAAAAAACTAGTGTCACACAGTGGTACAGTCATACATAATCCATAATACATCATATGCAGATTTATGTGCAACCTTGGGCATATTTTTCTTTCAGAACTGGGTTTAATATTAATCTGGATTGTTGCTAGTAATTGATTTGAAGTCAGTATGTCGTAATCCTCTGTATATCTGATTAAGCTTGCAATGCAGTTATTGTGGCAAAGGTGTTAAAGAATTATTCTGTAGGTATAAACAATTTATTAGACATTGTAAACGATAGCCAGCAGCTATATAGGTAACAATTGAAGTGTATGACCAAATTAATTGCTTGTATATATTTTAAAGCTGCAGTCTCAAGTAATGACGTACATAAATGTTTAAACTATAGTATATATACTTTATATTTGATTAAATCTAGCTTCAAATTGATATGAAATGTCATTTTAAGTCTTTTTGATCATTTGGTCAAACTAAGTATGCATTTAAAGAAGTAAGATTGCAAACTTTCATATACTGTAAACAAACTCATTAATTTGTGATTGAGAAATATTTGCCAGTTTCATGACCTTTTACTTGCAAATATTTTCCACTGCAATCCATTCCTTCTATTGTGTATTAATGTAGAATGTTTCCTCAGTCACCAAAATTAATGGTCACAGATTGATTTCAAAGTGACAAATCACAAATAATAAAAAAGCTGTTGCAAATAATAGTTGGTTTAGAGTATTAACATGTCTTTGCAACAATTGAGAGAGAGAGAAAGAAAAAAGAAATTGATAGATTTGCATGATAAATTTGTAAGTTTATAAATGGGCTTCACTATTTTATTACAAAGATTAATTATTTCTGGCATTTTCTACATTTTAGGAGACCTAGCACTGACCATTGTAAAAGGTCCGTTAGAAGCTTTGTTGGGTGTAGCTTTCGGGTGTGTGCTCGGGGTCTTTCTGTGGTACTTTCCATCCAAAAATGGAGTAAGTTTCCCATCTTATGTACAACAGACTAAACATAGTTCATAAAAATGAAAATGTATAAGGCAGCATAATTCTAGCTGCAGATTTGTAGTTGGTTGGTTGGAAAAAAGATGGTTGTCCATGCTATTTTTTTCAGACAAGCCAGCTACAGATCTGCAGATAGGAATAGTTCATAAAAATAAAAATGTTTAATAACTTTACAGCAATACATCTGAAAGATGGGCATTTCAAGCAAATTTTGTTTTACTTCTTAAAATGATTGGTTTTCCAATTAGTAGAAAATATCTTACTAGTTTGAAAAAAATTTCTCAAGATTAACCAAAGCTGCTTTTTAATTTTACCCAGTCCAATAAAATGTTTTACCGGTCCATGCTGTTATTCGCTGCTGGACTAATGGCCACGTTTGGGAGTGATGTGGTCCATCTTCCGGGGGCTGGCCCCCTCGGATGTTTGACCCTGGCTTTTGTCGCAGCATTCAGATGGAGGAAAGAAAGAGAGGAGGGACAGCCTGTGAGTATTTCAAGCCAAACTTTAATTTTCCTGCATACAACTCACAATATTTTTTTTTCGAATTCAAGATACAGTGAAACTGGTATCGTAACATTGATTACCATGGATATATCAAAGTGAGTTCGAAGACCCAATGACTTTTTCTTTAATATGAACTTTACCCACAATATCATTAATTCCTGGATATCTCGAGGTTTTTTTCTTAGTCCAGTTGAGTTTGAAATAACAAGGTTTGACTGCATTTTTTTTTTGTGAATTGTCGATGTGAAGCAGTACCTAGTATCATTACAATTGAACATAGTTATTTTGAATTTAACAAGTAAGTCAAACTTCATTATCTTGAACTCAATGGGACCGAGAAAAAACTTCGAGATATCCGAGGATTCGAGATAACCAAGATAAAATACTTTAAGAATAAGGGGTTGGGACTTCAAATCACTTTGACATATCCATGGTATTCAAGATATCGGTGTTTACGATACCAAAGTTCAACAGTATAAATAAAGTGTTTGGCTTGTAAAAAAAAAAAAAATTGAATAAATGAAACAAAAGCAACAAGATCAGTCATGTTAAAAAAAAAGAGAGAGAGAAAGAAAAACCAGAGACAACTGTCTTCAGACCTTGTTCCTCAGCAGTTTTTTTTGTTTGTTTTAGGACACCATTGCAGAGGTGGTAGGAATTCTCTGGATGTTGTGTCAGCCATTACTGTTTGGACTTATTGGGGCAGCGGTCAACTTTGACAGCATAAAGGATCTCAGCACACTAGGTAATGTCATTGATTCTCACCCGAGTTCTTACTTTCCATTATGATGGACTACTGTATACAGGGTTAATTTGGACCAGTGTTATTTTCGCCCTATAACACTTGTAAACGAGTTTGCCCCATTTTATTTTTGCCAAAACTAGTTGTATTCAAAGAGACATAACTGTCTCTGTTGAATTCACCCCATTTTAAATTTGCCCACATACAACTAAGACAAAAGAGATGAAAAACTTGTAGTTAACTCAGAAAGAGACCTATATTCTGAGGTCAGAAGCTTAATTTCTTTAGATTTGTATGTTCATTTGGATGAGCCAGTTACATATTTTATGCTACAATGTAATAGATACATTTGGGGTAGTGGTGTAAAGATGATACTTCAAAATCTGTTTGGTTTGCTTTTCACTGCACCTTTTGCAGATTTTAATAATACAGTCAAACCTCGTTATCTCGAACTCAAAGGGACCGAGAAAATACTTTGAGATAACCGAGGATTCGAGCTATCCAGGGTAAAATACTTAAGGAATAAGAATTTGGGACTTCAAAATGACTTCGAGATATGCATGGTATTCGAGATATCCTTGTTCGAGATGCCGAAGTTCAACTGTAGATAAAGTAATCCATTATATCACTATGGCCTAAATCACAGCCTTAAATGTAATCCATTATATCACTATGGCCTAAATCACAGCCTTAAATGTAATCCATTATATCACTATGGCCTAAATCACAGCCTTAAATGGCCACCAGTAACAGTATATAAAGTATAAAATCAAACATGGTTCCTCTAGGCCTCTACCTATTGTTCCCTGAAAATTTTCCTTCCGTGAAAACATCACATTGAGATATACTATTATGTTCAGTGTTATTTTCATGTCATGGACACTTCTCTTCTTTTTTAGCAAAAGTTTGACAATCTGATCTACCATTATAAATTAAAATTTTTAAATTTAACTGTATGAAATTTAAAACTTTCACTATAGAGGAAATTTGATTGAATTAATAAGAAATTATCAAACAAGAAAGAAAAGGAATTATCAATCTTCTTGCTGAATATTTGGCAATTCCCATACATGGAGTAGTTGATATGTATACGTAACGTAATTCTAAAACCTTTTGTTATAGGTCTAGGTATAGCTGTGTTGGCTATCGGGCTTGTGGTAAGAATTGCTGTATCATTCTGTGTGGTGTTTGGATCTGGCCTTACCCTCAAAGAACAGTTATTTGTGGCCCTTGCCTGGTTTCCCAAGGCAACAGTTCAGGTACCTGTATATAATTTTCTTTCATTACTTGCAGAGAAATTACAATAAAGTGATGGTAACAGCATGTTTACAATGAATTCATGCTTACAGAAAAGTGATTTTCATTCCCTTTATTTCTAAAACATGAACTTACCGGATATAACAAATTTGGTTTACAACAAATCAAAATTGTTTGTCCATGGCACTTCACTGTAAGCTTGTTATACTGGAATTTTATTTTGAGAGTTCCATATTGTATTGTATGTGGAATATGAAAAAAAGGAAACACATTTTCCAGTTTAAATTACATTGTATTTCTCTAACTATTGCAGGCTGCTATTGGTGGATTAGCCCTGGATGCCGCCATAAAAATGGGAGACCCCACACTGATTAATCTTGGAACTAGTATACTTACTACAGCTGTGCTCTCTATCATTATTACGGCCCCTATCGGTGCCCTAGCGATTGCTGTTTCAGGCCCCCTCTTACTAAACAGAATAGACCCCAAAACAGGAAAAGTGGTGTCTAAAGACAGTGAAGACCCCGAAAAATCTTCCATGTTAGACCAGGGACAAAATGAAAATGTGGAGGGGCCACAATGAGTCTGTTAAATGTTAAAATGTAATAACTGTAAATATAGACACTACCTCAATCCAAAATAATTATTTTTTAAACTTTCATATACTTAATCTAATCATGTATGTCATCTGAAAACATATCATAATTTATATTTTATGATTTTTCACTGAATTCATTTTTCACAAACTGATGTGTTTTAAGTCGTTGAAAATTCATACTGAAAAAATTGGGTTACAAGTTTTAATTGATCTTTTTTTTTTTAAATTGTGAATCACATACTATAACAGTGAAACTTGCTGATACAACTTTCAAAAGATACAGGAATTCTTGGTTACAAGAAAAAAATGAATTCCTTGGCAATTTATTTATATAGTATTTTAATGTTGTATTTAGTTATTGAGAAATTAGTAACAAAGATTTCTCAGAAGGAAGCAAAACTATATTGTGTAAATTCTCTGGATATAGTGAGGTCTTAATGAAAATGCAGAATTTCATGACTTGGCAAATATATGTTTTCCTTGGAACATGTTCAGTGCTGTGCATAGGGACATTTTTGTGCCATTTTATTTTTGCCCATTTTGCCCTCTTCGGTAGCTGCATATCTGTAGCTCGCTGGTCTGAAAAAAATCGGATGGACGACCAGAGAGGTACAGTGCCCCCATTGAAAAAAGTGTGTATTTATTGTGCATAAAAAAGTGTGCTGTTCTTGATTTATTTCTTGGTATATATAAAGATATTACTAACCTTGGATTTCTACAATATTCTTTTACTACTTCCACATCATGTATGTACAAGTCATGTACGAAGCACGTTGGTCCGATCAAACTGTCTTGCCATCTAAGATGGCAGTATAAATAGACGAAATTTTCCATGGTCTCAATTGAAGGCCCAGGAGGGCTATTTACCACGGTTTTGGGAAATGTTTTATTGTGGAAGTAGTGAAAAAATATGTTAGGAACATACAGTTTGTAATATTTTGAGATGGCAGCTTAAATATACGGAGAAATAAATAGAAAAACAGTGTACCTTTTTGTGCGCAATAAATATACAATTTTTTCAACGCACTGTAGCTCTCTGGTCGTCCATCCGAATTTTTTTCAGATCAACGAGTTACAAATCTGCAACTACCTCTTCGGGTGAATAAATTGGGCAGTTTCTAGGAAGACAGATGTATCTGTAACACAACTTGGGCAGTTTCTAGGAAGACAGATGTATCTAACACAACTGTGTAGGGGGGAATTTTAAATGGGGCAAAATCTTATGAAAGTGTGAAAGGGCAAAAAAACATGGGGTGAAAACTACCCTATACACAGTGCATTCTTTGTATACTTCATTATGTAAAGCTGTAAAAGAAAAAAAAAAGTATACATATCAATTTCTTGTATGTATAAATGAATGAATACAATTTTGTATTCTATTTATATGTTTAAAAAAAAGACTCTCACAGTAAATATTATCAGGAGTTACTGCTCTTAAACTGATCTTGCCTCATTGTTCTTGTGTGTTTAGTTTTTTTTTTTTTAATTTTGTAAAATGGAGTAGCACACAATTTGTTTTTGAATGATGTCTTTTCATTTTTATATGCATTTTAATAAGCTTTGGAAAACAATAAACAAATATATCTTCTTAAAATGAATTTTTTTTTTTTTTTGGTCGAAAAGATGTAAAATAATTTTTTTTTTTTTTAAATTTTCCATTGAATTAAGCCTGTAAAAATATTTTTAAAATTTTCATACATGTATCAAGTAAATGCATATGTTGCATTTTAAAGACAGTTTGAAATAAACACTGTCAGTTCCAGATATGATAATGCTGTATATAACCTTGAAAGTTAATAACAAATTTCAGGAACTTGGCAACCATGAATGTACATACACAACATGTGCAACAAAATCAGCAATTTTTTTCAATATTTTGATTAACCTAAAGGATAACTCAAAAGTACAATTCAAAGTTGTTTCATTTCAAATGGCTCTTTGATATTTAAGGGAACAATTGAGGCTGCATGTTTCTTACCCTAATCTCCTACAAAAATCTAACATTCATGCACTTGTTTCATGCCACATAAAATATCATGGCTAAAAAAAAATAGTTTTCCTATTACGTATTATCCCTCTGAGTTATTTCCCTTGACTGCCATCTTGAAGGTCAACTTGGTGATTTTTTCCTCTTTATCTTATCAAATTAAACAAGTGTAGCAGATTTATTAGGGAAAAATTTTTATAAAACGGAAATTCTGAATTAAAGGAGGTGTTAACAAATGGGTTTTCTGGAGAGAAGCAACGTTTCCTCCAACACAATGGCTAATAATGAATATGATTGTAAAAAAAATTGAGTAAGGACATACACAACAAACATATACACATATTTTACAACGTACATATCTAATGATAATTTTTCAAGATATTCTTAATTTAAAATTATAGTACAATTAAAAGTTCTTTGACAAAAAATCAGCATACATTACCAGGGGTTTTGAAGAGATATTCAATGATAAAAATCCTTGTGCTTTTCAAAGAAAAAGTAACAAAAATAAAGTTGTATGTGGTTTTTAGCTCACCTGAGCTGAAAGCTCAAGTGAGCTTTTCTGATCGCATTTTGTCCGGCGTCCGTCTGTCCGTCTGTCTGTCCGTCTGTCCGTCCAGCTGTCTGTCCGTCTGTCTGTCTGTAAACTTTTCACATTTTCGACTTCTTCTCAAGAACCACTGGGCCAATTTCAACCAAACTTGCCACAAAGTATCCTTGGGTAAAAGGGATTCAAATTTGTTCAAATGAAGGGCCACACCCTCTTTCAAGGGGAGATAATTAGGAATTACTGAAAAAATAATGGCATCATTTAAAAATCTTCTTCTCAAGAACCATAGGGCCAGGAAAGACTCATGTGGAAGCATCTTCAGGTAGTGTAGATTCAAGTTTGTTCAAATCATGACCCCGGGGGTAGGGCGGGGCCACAATGGAGGATCAAAGTTTTACATAGAAATATATAGGAAAAATCTTTAAAAATCTTCTTCTCAAGAACAGCAAAGCAATGGTGAATCATATTTATATGGAAGCATCCTCAGGTAGTGTAGATTCAAGTTTGTTCAAATCATGACCCCTGGGGGTAGGGCGGGGCCACAATGGAGGATCAAAGTTTTACATAGAAATATATAGGAAAAATCTTCTTCTCAAGAGCAGCAAAGCCATGATGAGTCATATTTAGATGGAAGCATCCTCAGGTAGTTTAGATTCAAGTTTGTTCAAACCATGACCCCCGGGGGTAGGGCGGGGCCACAATGGAGGATCAAAGTTTTACATAGAAATATATAGGAAAAATCTTCTTCTCAAGAACAGCAAAGCCATTATGAGTCATATTTATATGGTAGCATCCTCAGGTAGTGTAGATTCAAGTTTGTGAAAACCATGACCCCCGGGGATAGGGCAGGGCCACAATGGAGGATCGAAGTTTTACATAGAAATATATGGGAAAAATCTTGAAAAATCTTCTTCTCAAGAACAGCAAAGCCATGATGAGTCATATTATGGAAGCATCCTCAGATAGTGTAGATTCAAGTTTGTTCAAACCATGACCCCCGGGGGTAGGGCGGAGCCACAATGGAGGATCAAAGTTTTACATAGAAATATATGGGAAAAATCTTGAAAAATCTTCTTCTCAAGAACAGCAAAGCCATGATGAGTCATATTTATGTGGAAGCATCCTCAGGTAGTGTACATGTAGATTCAAGTTTGTGAAAACCATGACCCCCGGGGATAGGGCGGGGCCACAATGGAGGATCAAAGTTTTACATAGAAATATATAGGAAAAATCTTTAAAAATCTTCTTCTCAAGAACAGCAAAGCCATGATGAGTCATATTATGGAAGCATCCTCAGGTAGTGTAGATTCAAGTTTGTTCAAACCATGACCCCCGGGGGTAGGGCGGAGCTACAATGGAGGATCAAAGTTTTACATAGAAATATATAGGAAAAATCTTGAAAAATCTTCTTCTCAAGAACAGCAAAGCCATGATGATTCATATTTAGATGGAAGCATCCTCAGGTAGTGTAGATTCAAGTTTGTTCAAATCATGACCCCTGGGGGTAGAGCAGGGCCATAATGGAGGATCAAAGTTTTACATAGAAATATATAGGAAAAATCTTCTTCTCAAGAACAGCAAAGCCATGATGAGTCATATTTATGTGGAAGCATCCTCAGATAGTGTGGATTCAAGTTTGTTAAAACCATGACCCTCGGGGGTAGGGCGGGGCCGCAATGGAGGATCAAAGTTTTACATAGAAATATATAGGAAAAATCTTCTTCTCAAGAACAGCAAAGCCATGATGAGTCATATTTATATGGAAGCATCCTCAGGTAATGTAGATTCAAGTTTGTTCAAACCATGACCCCCGGGGGTAGGGCGGGGCCACAATGGAGGATCAAAGTTCTACATAGAAATATAAGGAAATATCTTCTTCTGAAGAACTGCAAACCATGATTAGTCATTTTGATGTGGAAGCATCCTCAGGTAGTGTAGATTCAATTTTGTTCAAATGATGACCCGCAGGGGTAGGGTGGGGCCCAATGGGGAATGGAAAGTTTAACATAAGAACATAAAGAAGAAATATTTCTTCTGAAGAACAGAAAAGCTATGTTTAGTCATATTGATATCAGGTAGTGTAGATTCAAGTTTGTTCAAATGATGACCCCTGGGATAGGGAGGAGCCACAATGGGGGATCAAATTTTTACAAAGGAATATATGGGAATTTTTTTTTAAATCTTCTCAAGTACAACAAAGCCATTTGTTACATTGACATGGAGCATCATCAGGTAGTTTAAAATTCAAGCCCCCCCCCCCTCCCCTGGTCTTTTCAATACTGAACTGATTTGTGCTTTTGCCTAGCCAATGTGCTCAGGTGAGCAATGTGGCCCATGGGCCTCTTGTTCTTTACAATTTGATTTAGATGAGGTATACAGCATCATTAGGAATAACATTGGTTGCATAAAAGTCTAACAATTATTGAATTTTCTAATTATACAGAGAATAAGTAAACGAAGCTCAAAACTATGTTGTGTGTTCCTAAAATAATGAAGGAATCTGAGTGGACAGCCAACGGGAAATAACTCTTGCTAAATTCACATCTATCTAACACT